GTTCAAGAGGAAACACGAGAATTTGATCTTTCAGACCTCTGTGAAGCCATAGTTCAAATCGCTGTAAATTTGCTAGGGTTGTACCTGAGCTAGATGTGCCATGTAAGTCTTTTACCGAAGAACTAAACTCCATGCATTGACCCTTATTAGGTAAAGTATTATGTAGACCAGGTTGAACCAAATCGACAACAATTGTTGGATGTGACATAGATGGCCTCTGTGATATCATTTATCTAGAACCTAGTTGTATACACTTAGCAGGATACATTGATTAATCATGAAGAACATGTCTTGATAGAATTAATCTGTTGACCACAAGTTATAACAAATTACTCCCTTATAGCCTGATGCATAACCCAAGAATATACTCACAGATGACCTAGGTTGAAGTTTATGATCATTGTAATGTCTTAAGTAAGGGTAAACTACTGAGCCAAATATTTTTAAGCCTTGTAACTTTGGTGGCTTATCATATAGAGCACAAAAGGGAGAATTCATTTGTAAGACTCTACTTGGCATCCTGTTAATGAGAAAAATAGCATGAGCACATGCTTGAAACCAAAATTCTTGTGGTAAGCTTGCAACACCCATCAATGTTATAGCAATCGCAATGATATGCCTACGTTTTCTTTCAACAAGACCATTCTGTTGTGGTGTATAAGGACATGAAATTCTGTGAGTCATTCCTTTTGAAGCAACGAAATCCTTAAAAACCTTGCTAGTGAACTCTCCACCTTAATCAAATTGCAAAGATTTAATACTTATACCAAATTGAACTTCAACAAATTTGTAAAATTGAACAAAAGTAGAAAAGACTTTAGATTTATTGAATGGTAGAAATATCCACATGTATATTGTACAATCATGCAAAAATGTATCATAGTACCTAAATCCCTCAATAGATTTTACAGGAGATGGTCCCCATACATCTGTGTGAATTCTATCAAAACTACTTGACTCAACAGAAAATGGTTTCTTAGCTATTTTCCTATGAATACAAGTAGTATACATTTTATGCACATCATCTATAGCATGAGAGATTTGAGATTTAGCTAGCATAAATGTTAAAACTTCATTGATTGGATGTCCTAATCTATGATGCCAAACTGAAGACTTTACAAGCTATCTACGAAAAGCTATTGCAGAAGGAAATGTTGATGTAGGGATCTGAAACAGTTCTCCAAGTTTAATCCTTCCTTTGTACAAAATCTCCCTTGTTACCTTGTCCTGCACAAAAAACACTGTGTCATCACAAATAAATCAACACTTATTGTCTTTACACAGTTGAGTAACATATATAAGGTTAACAACAACGGAATGAACAAGTAGCACATGTTTTAACCCAAGAGAACTAGATGGAGTTTAAATCATTGTAGAACCAATGTTTTGTATTGGCAAACGTTGACCATTGCCAATCTTAATTGTCTCTGCACCTTTAAATGGTATAGTATTACTTAAGCTTGGAATATCAGAGGTAATATGGTGAGATGCACTAGTGCCTAAAATCCATGTTGGAGTACTTGGAATAGATGAAAAATTATGTACAATAACAACATATGACATTTGAAGAATTTGGAACAGATGAAGAACCTTGATTATTTGCAAAAGAATTTGGATTATTCACATCCACTGAAGGTCTAGGAATTTGATATGAGTGATGTGTTATAAAAAGACCAGGAACATATGACATTTGAGGAATCTGAGGCATTGGTGGAGTTGCAGTAAAGATTGGTGCAACAAAAGTTGGAGAACCACTAGGTTGATAAGAATAGTTTCCTCTGTGGTAGCACTTCAATGCATTATGTCCCTTCTTGTAGCAAATCTGACACACAGTTGAGAAACCAGTTGCAGGAGGTTGGCCATTCCTATAAAAACAATTTGGTGCAGTGTGATCCATTCTCTGGCAAATCTGACACTCATGTTGTTGAGGAGTTCAAGTTTTAGGATTTCCATTCAACCCACTATTCTGCTTGAAGCCATTTGAATTCTTGCCCTTACTGACTTATAATTACCATAATTCCTCTGTTGTCCTTTAGAAAATGACCCTTGTTGTTGTTGTTGACCACCAGAAACCTAAGAAGCTCCAGAAAATTGAGAAGATCCAAGACCCTGAGATGGACCATTCATAAACTGATATTGATTCATATTGCCTAGAAAACCAGTACCATAACCAGGAAATAAAGGTACTTGATTATGAACCTAGAGGAAAGTATACAGATAAATTAGTGGACTGATATCCAAACTAATTGAGTGACTATGGTCCATAAGATCCAGCTTGTTGAGAACCAAAAAATTATTATGATTGATGACCAAAAGGAATTAAAAGAACTGCAGTAATACAACCTCCAGTACTTGATTCAATATCAGAAGAATTTGAGCTAGATGTTCCACAATGTGAACTTCCTGCCATGTGTGAACTTCCATTCATGTATAAAGTTGACATATTATGAGTAAGAGAATTAATAGCCATCTCATTCTCTCTTTTAATACCAAGAAGCAAAGCCTTGAATTCTTTCATAGTGACAATAGTTTCGTTTGCAAGAATTACAGTCCTAATTGTAGCACATTCTTTGGTAATCCAGCAAGAGCTACAATTATCACATCATTGTCAGAAATGAACTTCTATTAACTGATCTCTAATGGACTTAAGCTTCAACAAATACTTATCCATTAAATCTCCATTTTTTTGAATTGTATGTAACTCAATCTTTAAATGCTTCACTCCAATTTTAGACACAGATGCATATCTTTCTTCAAGATTAGGTTATACATCCTCTGTTGTTTTACAACCAATCACATGTTCTATAGCATCATCAGAGAGAACTGCAATTAAAAGACTTCATAGTGCCAAATCAGTGGACTCCCATTCTTGATAAGCCTATGTGACTTCTTTAGTGACCCCAATTTCAGTATTCACCATAAATTTAGAAGAACATACATCAGACCCATCAAAGTGACCAAAAATCTTGTAACCTTTCAACACAGACTTGAATTGAAATGCCTACTTAGTGTAATTATGATCATTAAGTTTTATGGTTAACATTCCCAATAACCCTTCAATATTTACAGTAGAAGAACTCATGATAATCTTCAAACCAACTATAATTGTGTAAAATTTCCAAGAAAAAATCGAAATCAAATATCAGAATCATTGGCTTCGCCCTTTGAATTCAATCAATCACAAACTGAATTGATAGCATCAGCTTTTCACAATTCAGAACCTGTTCAAAGTCAAGAACAACAAATCTGCCATTGGCCTTGATATACTTTTCAATATTCAATCAAGAAATTACACTATCTTTACCACTTGATCAAGAAAAATTGACAATCTTGATACTAAAATCCCTAATTGAACTCAAAAAACACATAAAAGCTTTAAGAAAAATAATGTACTGCAAAAATCGTCAGAAGAATCGCTCGAAACATAATGCAGACCACCGAGCTCCACTGCAAAAAATTCTCCAATTCACAGCAGAACCTTGGCTCGATACCATCTTAACAGTAGTAAAACACTCTTGAAGGCAATAAACTTTGATAATCTTGTAAGATGAAACAATGTAAGTTTTAATGAGAGAAAGTAAGAACTCAAAAGAGAGAGAGAGAGAGAGAGACAAGAATATGAAGTGATTTTCATTAAAGCAAGAGCAAACCAGTACAATAGAATTTATAGGCCAAGCCTAACTAACTTTCCTTATGTGGCATACCACTTTACTACTGTTAGTGCAATATTGGCAATTCTTGACAAAATGCATGAGTCTGTAATAGCTTAGACTTGTTATATATTTTCAATTGTAATTGTTTAAGTCTAGGGAGGTCTCTTACTCTTTTGATGAGAAGATGTTACGTGAACAAGATACACATTCAGGTATGTTTGCATGCATGCATCCAATTACATTCATCTATATCTCATGATATTGTATTTGAGATAGGTCTTTTATTAAAACTACTTTCAAGATAAATTGATTGTATTTTCAAAAGACTTATCTGATCGCATCCAACTAAATGGATTGCATGGTTGTCATTGTTTAAAAAATAAAAAATAAAAATAAAAAAGTTGTTGCCGTGTGTATCTAGGATTTGTGGTTTTAAAAGGATTGTCATTTAGCTAAAACCTATTATTAGTTATGAAATCTTATCAGTTCCAAATTGGTTCCCGTGCCTTGAGGGTTTATAAGGAAGGTTTGAAATTGGTTTTGGGGAAGCCGTATATGCATGAAATTTTTGTTCTTCGAAAAAAAAAAAAGGTAACTAAAGGCAACAGTGTGTTTTTGTTAAAGAAAAATTATTTTTATGTCGCTGCCATCTTACGGTTTCAACAGCATGTGTTTTTAAAGAGAAAATATTATTTTCATGCTGATTTTCATTTGGTTTTTTATTGAATGTCAATTATGAAAATGTGCCTTGTGATTTTCGTAATTGAGTGATTTTTCAACCAAACACTTCATCATATAAACATTCTGTATGATCGAGTTAGTATCTTGCAAGGTTCGAGGAAAAGGTGACTGACGATCGTGTTAGTGTCGTGCCACTTCAACTCAAAGACTGAAGAAAGATCGAGTAGCAAAGCGCGAATACAAAGCTGCCAACTGGTATGTGTGTCTGGTTGATGAGTTTTTTGTAAGTCTTTATGTATTCCTAGCGCGAATACAAAGCTGCCAACTGGTATGTGTGTCTGGTTGATGAGTTTTTTGTAAGTCTTTATGTATTCCTTCTTTCTTAGTGCTTCCTGGCTTGGTAGCCCGAGGATTTTCCCAGTGGTGGGTTTTGCCTCGTAAAATCCTACATCATGTGCGTACTCTTTATATTTATGTTGGATATTTTGTGTAGGATTAGAGCTGCATAACTGATTAACATAAATCACAATTTGAGCTAGTTTTAAGTTGAAATTTATTTATATTTCTAGTTAAGTTAGTACCCATCCTAGGACTTTCAATTGGCACCAGAACAGGTCACTAAAAATATCTAGTGAGATCCGTGGGTAGTCCAGGATGAATCGATCTATGGGTTCAGTTTCTCATCCGCCACATTTTGATGGCGACAACTACGCTGCATGGAAGGCAAAGATGAAATCATTTCTCTGGGCGCTTGACGATAGAGTGTGGCTTGTGGTTGAAGAAGGCTGGGAAACTCCAACAGTTGAAGAAACCAAAGGCGAAGGACAGTCTTCTGTTACTATTTCTATGCTTAAGCCTAGAAAGGTATGGAGTGAAGATGAACGCAACTCTAGCACATTCAATCAAAGAGCATTGAATGCGTTGTTCATTGCCGTTTTGCCTGAGCAATTTAACTACATCAGTAAATGCTCAACGGCAAAAGAAGCTTGGGATATTCTTGAAGTTACTCATGAAGGTAACTCCACTATCAAAGAATCCAAGCTTCAAAATCTCATCACACAATTTGAAAATATCAAAATGCTAGATGATGAGAGTTTTTCTAACTTTTATGCTAAACTTAGTGTAATTGTCAATGGTTGTCACAATCTTGGTGACAGCATTCCAGAACATAGAGTTGTTAAGAAAATTCTAAGGTCTCTTCCTTCTAGGTTTCATGCGAAAAGGACAGCTATAGAAGAATCGAAAGATTTAAACACTTATAAGTTGGAACAATTGATTGGGTCATTATAAACATATGAGTCTGACATTACCGAAGTCAAGAAAGGAAAAAATGTAGCCTTCAAAGTCAATAATGAAAAAGTGAATGAGGATTCATTTGAAAACCTAACTCAAGATGAATTTGCTCTTCTCACCAAACAAGCTAAAAAAATTTTGAAACTTAGAAGTTCCAGAGGACGTGAAAATCGAAACAATTTTGATTCAAACTCCAAAGTTCCTCGTTCTCGAGATTTTTCTCATGGAAATTCTTCTAAGTTTGTCAAACTTGGTGAAAAGAAAAGTTCAAATGACAGAGATAAGTGTTTTGAATGTCAAGGGTATGGACATCATGCTCATGAATGTGCCAATACTCTTAAAAAGCTGAAGGATGAAAAGAACAAGGCATTAACCTCCACTTGGAGTGATAGTGATTCAGAAAAGGACACGGCATCTGAAGAGGATGATGAAGTGGTTGCGTTTATTGGATTTTTTTATGGATATGAGACTGATGACTCAGTGGTTAAAGAACCTGATTCCGTAGAAGTCTTACAAAAATATACTGCACTTTATGATATCACCATGAAAGTGAAGAAAGAAAATGATGAACTGAAAAATAAACTTGTGCAGCTAGAAAGCGAGAAGAATGAAGCAGAGATTGAGCATCAATCTCAAATGGAACATGCAGAAAAGCTACGAGAGTCAATGTTGGAGAAGTTACATATGCTAGCATCAGAAAATAAAATTCTTGAGAATGAATTGAGTGGCATGAAAAAAAAGGTTGAAGAGTTTAGTATTGGATCAAGGAAAATTGACAAAATGTTAAGCTATGGAAAAAATTCAGGTGATAGAAGCGGTTTAGGTTTTGATTTTAAAGTGACTGGAAGTTCTTCATCTTCTGTTACTAAATTTGTCAAAGCTCTACAAGAACCAAGCAGGAAAGCAAGTAGTGATGAATCCTTTGGAAATTCGTGTAACACTACAATTAGGTCAAATTCTGTGATCCCCTTCGTTGATCCAAATAATTTCATTAGGTCAAAAACTTTCACTCCTATTTGCCATTTCTATGGAAAAATAGGACATATCAGACCTAGGTGTAACAAACTTCGAAATGAAAATCGAACTAAACACACCACCTCTTGGATTTCTAAAAAATCAAATCTCAAAGTGAGATTTGTTGCTCAACCGAAGGGAATGAATAGAAGTTCAAAAATAATGCCTAATTCCATTTTTCCTAACTTAAAGCAAGTATGGAAAAGAAAGGAGACTCAAATCTGCTTATTGGATAAGATGTCACCATCATCTGCGGAAGAGAATCTTACCTGTTTGGTAGCTTTCACTGCCCTCTCAACTTGTCAATCTGATACTTGGTATCTTGATAGTGGCTGCTCGAGGCACATGACTGGAGACAAAAGATGGTTCACAACCTTCACTGAGGATTGTAAAAATGGAGCAGTCACTTTCGAAGATGGAAAAAAAGCAAGGATTGTTGGAAAAGAAGAAATCAAAACTCTAGGAATTCCATGCTTAAAAGATGTCATGTTAGTTGATGGACTTAAAGCTAACCTAATTAGCATTAGTCAAATTTGTGATGATGATGATGCTGAAGTATTTTTCATTAAGTTGAAATATAGTGTGAATGTTGATAGTGGGATAGACATTTTTGAAGGAAAAAGGTCTAAAGACAATTGTTATTGTGTGAATGCAAATGAATCGCATGTGCCAAGTATATGCAACAAAGCAATTGATAATGTTTTGGATTTATGGCATAAAAGATTAGGCCATATGAATTGTAAGGATATGATTAAGCTTTCCAAGAAGGAATATGTGAGAGGTTTACCGATGTTAGTTGGAGAACTTGGAATTTGTGGAGAATGTCAAGTGGGAAAGCAAACAAAGAGTTCGCACAAGTCAACAAACTACATCTCAACCTCACGACCTTTGGAGCTGATGCACATGGACTTGGTTGGACCGGTACAGACCGAAAGCATTAGGGGAAAGAAATACATACTTGTCTTGGTGGATGATTTCTCACGTTTTACTTGGGTTGCATTCTTGCGAGAGAAATCTGATGCGTTCAAAGCATTTTGTGGCTTGTTGAATAAAATTCAAAATGATAGAGTTGCTTCAAATGATTGTGTGATACGACTCAGAACCGATCACGGAACTGAATTTGAAAACACATCATTTTCTAAGTTTTGTGATGAAAAAGGAATTACTCATAATTTTTCTGCTCCAATCACTCCTCAACAAAACGGAGTTGTTGAACGGAAAAATCGTGTGTTGCTTGACATGAGTCGTGTCATGCTGACTAGCGCTCGTTTGATAAATCATTTTTGGGCTGAAGCAGTCAGCACCGCTTGCTACACTACAAATCGAGTCTATCTTCGACCTGGTACAAAGTGCACACCATATGAGATTTGGAATGGAAAGAAACCAAATGTGAAGCATTTGAGAGTGTTTGGTAGTATATGCTACATTTATAGAGTTAGGGAAATGTTAGCAAAATTCGATTCACGAAGTGATATTGGAATTTTTCTAGGATACTCTCTCACAAGTAGAGAATACAAAGTGTTCAACAAGAGAACTAAAAATGTTATGGAGTCCATTAATGTTGTTGTGAATGACTCTTCCTTAAATATTGAACAACCTGCTTGAGATGAAGAATTCCTTCAAAGTAGATTAATCGATGAGTCATCCACTACTCAGGTTGAAATGAATCAAAATATTGATTCAACAAAAACTTTGAGAAAAGGACACAAGCAAGTGCAAAAAGATCATTCCAAGTCTGACATTATTGGCAATGTAGAAGATAAAATGCTAACCAGAAGCAAAACTACTGCTATGGTAAACTTCACGTGCTACATATCAAAGCTTGAGCCAAAAAATGTCAAGGAAGCTCTTTTAGATGATGATTGGATAATGGCCATGCAAGAGGAACTCAATCAATTTGTTAGAAATGATGTATGGTATCTTGTTCCCAGACCCAAAGAAACAAATGTTATAGGAACAAAGTGGGTTTTTCGGAACAAAACCGATGAACATGGTATCATCACGAGAAATAAAGCCCGTCTAGTTGCTCAAGGATACACTCAGGTAGAAGGTCTGGATTTTGACGAGACATTTGCTCCCGTTGCGAGATTGGAGTCCATTAGGTTGTTACTTGCTTTTGCATGTCATCTGCGTTTTAAATTATATCAAATGGATGTCAAGAGTGCTTTTTTAAATGGAGTACTTCAAGAAGAAGTTTATGTGGAGCAACCAAAGGGGTTTGTTGATCCAAAACATCCTGATCATGTGTATCGGTTGAAGAAAGCTTTGTACGGTTTGAAACAAGCTCCTAGAGCTTGGTATGAAAAACTCTCAATCCATTTGTTAAAGAAAGGATATACTCGAGGAGCTGTTGACAAAACCTTGTTCGTTAAAAGAATACAAAAGGATGTGATGATAGCTCAAGTGTATGTGGATGACATAGTATTTGGCTCAACATCTGACTTACTTGTCAAAGAATTCACTGAAGTTATGCAGAGCGAATTCGAAATGAGCATGTGTGGGGAATTGAATTTTTTCTTGGGATTACAGGTCAAACAAGTTGACAACGGTATTTTTGTCTTTCAGACAAAATATGCAACTGAGCTGGTTAAGAAGTTTGGTTTGGATTCAGCAAAACCAGTCTCCAATCCCATGGCAACAACCACAAAACTTCACAAGGATCAAAATGGAAAAAGTGTTGATCAAACACTTTATAGGAGTATGATTGGAAGTTTGCTGTATATTACTGCTAGTCGGCCTGATATCTCTTATAGTGTTGGTGCTTGTGCCCGATATCAAGCTGAACCAAAAGAATCGCATTTGGAAGCTGTCAAAAGAATCATTAGGTATGTGCGTGGCACAGTTGATTTTGGTTTACATTATTCCTTTGACACCAATTCTGAAATTGCTGGATTTTCAGACGCCGATTGGGCTAGAAATGCTGATGATCGGAAAAGTACTTCTGGAGGATGTTTCTATGTTGGAAATAATCTTGTCGCTTGGCATAGTAAGAAACAAAATTGTGTTTCCTTATCCACTGCCGAAGCTGAATACATTGCTGCTGGTAGTTGTTGTACACAATTGCTTTGGATGAAGCAAAAGATTAGTGATTATGGCATTAATCAAGGCATCTTTTCTATTTTATGTGACAACACTAGTGCTATAAACATTTCCAAGAATCCTGTTCAACATTCTCGTACCAAACATATTGACATTCGTCACCATTTTATTCGTATTCTGGTTGAGGAGAAGGTTTTAATATTGGAGTTTATTGCCACTGAACATCAACTTGCAGACTTGTTTACTAAGCCATTAGACACTCATCGTTTCGAAACTCTTAGAAAGGCATTAGGAATTTGTCATGTTCATTAAACTTTATTTTTCACTTTTCATTTTATTTTATTTTATTTATTTTTTTATTTTATTTTGTTTCCTCTACCTAACTTTTGTTCCACAAATTATCTGCTTCATGCTAAACATAATATGCTTTGCCATAGGGGTTGTTACTATATGTATGTTTATTGATTAAGCTTGTCTACTTGGCTGAAACTCCGCACCCTGTGAGCTTTTGTGCCTAAATATAGTGTGTGCATTTTTCATACACTCTTATTGTTTCATGTGTCCGATCTTATGTGTTTTGATTCTCTAGAACTTGCTTTGAGACCTCTCAAAACTCTGTATCGTATATTACTCTATTTTGGAGATGATAGTAGGCATTAGGACTTTCCACCATTGCCATATATGCCAGTGCCTTTCAATTTTTTTTCTTAGTACGCCATTTTGAGCCTTTATGTAAGCTTTTTGTTCTTAAACTTTACCTTTTCTTCCCGAGCCTCTTATATTCCACATTTCCTCCCTTCTAAGAAGCTAGTAGAGTACGTTTTTCAAAGGAGAGAGATCACGATTATTTAAAAGTTGAATATACAAATTTTGTGAAGAAAGCTCATTACAAATGAAGCACAACAGAAGAAAAGAGGACAAGAAGTCACTATGGTTCTACCTCCTATTTTTTATGAAGAGAATGAATCTTTTTATCGAAGGATTAAAAAAAAAAAAAAAAAAAAAAAAAGGGTCCGGACCTCCTTCGAAGTGCATTACCAACCTTATACGAACTCACGTGTGTTGGTTTACATGAAGAGCAAGAATCATCTGAAATAATTTATGCATTGGTATGTCTCAAAACCAACCGTTCCATTGAAGTGCTAAGTTCCATGATTCAGTATTGTATTTCTCTCTTGGTTTCTTTTCAAACTACTCTATTAGCCATCTTCGACTTTGTGTTTCCTATCTTCTTCATTTTGTTAACCAAGTACTCGAAACCTCTTTATCATCCTTCCCCAAGACCTACTTGATCCAACAACGGTAATTTTTGATGTGTGGAGACGAGATTGAGATGCAAGCCTATGGTAGAATCTTCATATAATGATCTTTTTGAGAGTAAACACTTCACCTCAAACACTTTGAGTGCTATTTGAGAATATTTCTTGTGAGTTTAGGGGTTGATGTCACGTTGACTTGTTTAATCATATTGCATTTCTATAGTCACGATTGTTTTGGCTATCTCTCGTTCGTATTATGTTTCAGTGGACATTACAAAAAAAAAAAAAAAAAAAAAAAACCTTTTTTGTTTGCTTTATTCCTTTTGACTTCTAGATAATGTTCTTTAGGATTTAGCATGAGTCTCACGTTTTTGTTTTTTTTTTTTTGTTTTCTTTCTTTGCTTTATCCCCTTTTATTTCTAGATAATGAGTCGTTTTCATCTTTCTATTATTATTTTTTTTTTTTTTTGTGTTCTGCTTATCTCTTTGGTCTTTTAAGTTGGGTTGAACTTGGACTTCTACTTTGGTTTGGTCTTTTTATTCCCGTGCTTTTCCTTTGTTCATTGTCAGTCGAACATCTCATCCTTGTTTGTTATTTATTGCCTTGGTTTTTTTTTTTTCATCTTTGTTTCTTATTGTCGTGGCCTCCATCTTCCTTTGCTGTTGTCCTTATTTTTGTTTTCCATACAATTTTTTCATCATGGTTTCATCACGCAAGTCTGCACGTTCTCATGCTTTGAAAGGCACGACTCCGAGCATTATTCCTTCCTTCTCTTCTCCCCGCACAAGGTCTGTGACTCGCAAACTGTTTTCGTCCCCACCTGCTTCTTCAACTTTTTCTGCTGATTGTCCCACTGAGGTTTTCAAGCGTCTTCTTGATCTCAGCAAACAGTTCTTTCAGTTAGAGCAGTTCATTAAGATTTCTATCATGGATCTTAGTCATCGACTTTCTCAATTGGAGCAATGTATCCATCGTATCCCCAATCACATGCTTACTCCTCTCATTCATATTTCATCCTCTGATGATGATTCTGACTTCCGTCCTACTAGTGTTCCACCACCTTCTCATACTCCATGTCCACCAATTCTGGAACGTACACCGCTGCCAACTCCTACTTCAGACGATGATCCAGAGGAAGATCTCTACTGGGTTACCGATGAAGAATCGTTGCCTAAGCATGATTAATTTGGCTTTTCCTATGACAAAAAGGGGGAGAGACTATAGTTAGGGGGAGAGATTTTAGTTAGTAGTTAAGGGGAGTGTTTTTTTTTTTTTTTTTGCTAGAATTATGTTTTAGTTAGTGAGGGTTTCTTTTAGTTTATTATTTGGATGATACATCATGTTTGAATGATTATCTTTATTTCATAATAAAGCTTCTTTTTATTTTCTCTTTTGGACGATGAAAGATAGTTGAATGATTATCCTTATTTCTTAATAAACATGCAACATCTGTCTTTTGTACGTCACGGGTGTTTTGTTTAATGTGTGTAGATTACAGACTTCAGTGCATAAGTTTTAAATTTTTAAAATATTGTATTTGAGGGTTTTGTCAAGGAAATGCCAAAGGGGGAGATTGTTAGTGCAATATTGGCAATTCTTGACAAAATGCATGAGTCTGTAATAGCTTAGACTTGTTATATATTTTCAATTGTAATTGTTTAAGTCTAGGGAGGTCTCTTACCCTTTTGATGAGAAAATGTTACGTGAACAAGATACACATTCAGGTATGTTTGCATGCATGCATCCAATTACATTCATCTATATCTCATGATATTGTATTTGAGATAGGTCTTTTATTAAAACTACTTTCAAGATAAATTGATTGTATTTTCAAAAGACTTATCTGATTGCATCCAACTAAATGGATTGCATGGTTGTCATTGTTTTAAAAAAAAAAAAAAAAAAGTTGTTGCCGTGTGTATCTAGGATTTGTGGTTTTAAAAGGATTGTCATTTAGCTAAAACCTATTATTAGTTATGAAATCTTATCAGTTCCAAATTGGTTCCCGTGCCTTGAGGGTTTATAAGGAAGGTTTGAAATTGGTTTTGGGGAAGCCGTATATGCATGAAATTTTTGTTCTTCGAAAAAAAAAAAAAGGTAACTAAAGGCAACAGTGTGTTTTTGTTAAAGAAAAATTATTTTTATGTTGCTGCCATCTTACGGTTTCAACAGAATGTGTTTTTAAAGAGAAAATATTATTTTCATGCTGATTTTCATTTGGTTTTTTATTGAATGTCAATTATGAAAATGTGCCTTGTGATTTTCATAATTGAGTGATTTTTCAACCAAACGCTTCATCATATAAA